TTTTTTTTTTTTCTTTTTTCAATTTTTTATTTTATTTTTTGTCTAACTAAATTAAAAGTATATTAACTATTTAGTCAGACATCTATATTTGAATCCAAAATATGAGTCATGTCAACTTTAACATGAACCGCGATAACATAGTCAATAAAGTATTGACATTGATTGGGGATCAAATCGAGGAAAATCCATGACAGCTAAAACTGGTGGCTTTAGTCCCTTGTATTTATTTGCAAGCAATAATCAAGTAGGTGATAAGAATAGCTAATCATGTTTTGACCCACGGCCTTGCCCTTTTCACCAGATAATGAAGGGGAAAAAGATGTAGTAAATATTGTAAGATTCATGATAATGCATGGTAAGGTGTTAAAATGTCAATTACCTCTCGCACATTCCTCATTTATATCAATGATATTTTCATATAAATCATGCATGGTAAGGTGTTAAAATGTCAATTACCTCTCGCACATTCCTCATTTATATCAATGATATTTTCATATAAATCCTTGAAAATTAAATATGAACTGTCGAACCGCAGAGATGTCATCTTTAGACATGAGGGACAGAAGAGAGGCTTACAATGAAGCTTCAAAGAAGCGTCGACGCAGCAAAAGCAAAAGTGGAAGCCCTCAACGCAAATTATCCACCAGAGATCAAGATCGGGGCCGGGAATGGGATCGACAGAAAAGTGGAAGCAAGAGGCGGGATGATCGAAAGAGACGGATATAAGAGAAGGGCGAAATGAGTTGCTATTATCAAATGAGACTGCAAAAGTAGTTCTTCAAGAAATGTACATGAACATGATTAAGGACCTCGCTTGATAAATACTGTAGCCAAATGTACGTCATTTCAAGATAAAATGGTTCACATTCAATCACATGAAGGGAGAGACGTCGAATGATAAAGCTTAGCCACTTCAGTTTCTGTGCACTGTATTGCTCTGTCACAATATATTTATCAATATCGCAAATAAGCAATCTGTAAACGATAAATACGAGTACGTAAACACTAGTGTCCTTTTTGAGACGACCTCTATTCCATACATTGTGCGCGAAAGAACTGTAGTAAGATCAAGAACATCTATAATCATATAAAAGAATACAAGTACGTACAAAAGGAAGCATTTGTTCAAATCACCATTCACCTCGAACAACCAGTATTGCCGAATCCCTTTCAAATATTCTCGTGTTGAAATGTTATATGAGTAGTGTTTTTGAATTTCTTTATATTAATGATGTAGAGCAATGCTATCTACTATCTCCGCTGTTAACGAGGGAAACAAGCTCGATATTCTCAGATGCTGAAGTTTCAGCAACCTCTTTTGAATCCATAACTTCTCCGGGGAGAATAGAAGAGCTGGGATCGGTTCTTGGCACCAAAAATAGTAAACAAAGTGGGCTAATCCTCAATATATTCCTTATCAAAATGGCTACCCACAAGTTATCGAATTGTGTCCTAGTAACCTTCAAAATGTGAAGTAACAAGCCTCCAAACCATGATGATGTAAGAAGTCCCGCATTATCAATTGACATGAGCAATGCAAAAAAGGTTCCTTCAATGCCCGGGGGACAGAGTTTCGAACTTAGAACAAGAAGTGGCATCCATTTGAGTCGTCCGATCATGGAAGAAACACTTGCATCAATCACCACAAAGAAAAAGTCTGGTATCCCGATTTTTAAGTTTACACGTAGCACCAGTAGCAAATCAAGCATTCCCGAGAGACATAATAGTATCTGAGTCCAGAAAAGTAGATCACGAAATGGGTAATCCTTTAATCCATACTGATATAGTATAGCTCCCAATAGAGAGCCTATGGAGCCAATCGCCATTATATAGCCAATGATTTCCTGCGGTAATCACACGAACGACAGTTACAAACAATTATTTGGGCTAGCGAGCGAAACAAGGCAATGAGCTCCACAAATAAATACTAGACGCTTGTCTTCACTTTGCCAAAATGGAAAACCCAAGTTATGATAGAAGCATGTCAAACTCATGTATAACAATAAATTCTGTCACACAATTAATATGGATGTTTCAAATGTACTAAACAAGCAATCTAGGAATGAATATATTGGAAAAATAAGAAACAAAAAGGAAAATAAAAGAAAGAATAGAGTGATAGAGGGTTTTAAGATGAAGTACATACTACTACTATCTTCTAATACTGTCGAAGCATCGTTTTCAAATATCCACGGTAATCAGTATGATCTATATTTGGAGAAAATTCTGTTTTCTTCTGAAAGATGCTACTCTTAGGACATTCTGCTCAAATATTTTGCGACCAATGCATTGGAGTATGGTTCGATTTCATATAAACTTTCAAGTAGGATATGATTCCGCTTTTGTTTTCAAGCCTCCTCAACATTCAATGTTGTCTTAGGATACTCATCACGTGTAATAACTTGAGTTGTATTAGTAAGTAGTTATTGAAAGGCATTCAGTTTTTGGTTAAAGTACAAGAATATTTCAAATTATCTGCCATGCCTTCTTTGGGCAATGTGTTAACGTTCAAAAAATTCTAGACATTCTATTGATTTCCATAATTTTTTTTGCAGAATATCGAGATAGATATGTTGTCAATATTTTCAAATCTAAGTTTGATACAAGAGTTGATCTGGGTATCTTAAAACTTGGTCTTAGTCACCTATTTAAAGGCTATAACGCATAGCATTGTTGAATACAAAGGTCCACTTTTTCGGCTTCTTTTTGCTCTCTCTCTCAATTTGCTTGTAAAAAATCAGTATTTTTTGGTACCGCAAATTCATTAAAAAAAAGCCAGACTTGCTCCTTGATTCAGTAAATATAAATTTTTTCTTCTGTAGGTAATGGCAAATGGATGTTTCCTGTTGAAAAATCTTTTGGCTCGGTCCTAAATTAGTGTAGTGAGAACTCAAATGGACATGACGTACCTGAGAAAATAATGGGCCTGCCTTTGAATCTGTTGCCCAGTAGAACATTCCTTCGGAGATACTTATACTCATCGAGAAGG